CAAATATGGTTGGGGCTTAGTAAATACTTATAGAGCAAAAGAATATGTAAAATCTGACAATTTCTCACCACCTCAAATTGCTATCATCCTGGTCCATGTTAGCATCATCACTTGCCATGATAATTGCAATTCCTTCCCAAATATTGCCACTATTTTCTGCCATTCCACAGTCATTCTCTACGGAGTAGCCAGAATGATTCTTTTAAAACATAGGGCAAATAATGTCATTCCTCTCATCCAAACCCTTGGAAGCTTCTTCTATCACTCTGAGTAGCCATAATCTGACTCCAGGCTACCTCTCTGACCTCTACTTTTCTTACCAATTTCCTCCTTGCTTACTGCTGTCTGTAATCTTCTAGGCCATTCCCTGAACTACCCAAGCATGCTCCTGCTCAAGGGACTTTATGATTATTGTAATTTTGTTCCAAAACACTTTTTTTCTTGATGCTTACATGCCTTGCTTTCTCTCTTCCTGCAGGACTCTGCTCCAGGAATATTTTATTAAGGAAGGTGAATGTTACATGTAAAATAATATCTTGTCGTCACTCAGTTTTTACTTGTTTTTGTGTTTTTTTTGAAAAAATAAAATGTAACACCAGAAATATATTGTACTTTCTCCTCACTAGATTTTAAATGCCATATGAACTGAAAATTTTTTACCACTAATTTCTCAGTTACCTATGGAACATAGTGAGCATTCAATTATTTCTTGAATGAGTAATTGAATAAATAATGCAGCTGTTATGAGCTTAGACTTTGAAGTCATAAGATTTTCTTTATAAAACGGTTATTAAACATAGTAATATTGTATTGGTTAGATGATATTAAAACATGTGAAGAATTTAGTATATTATTTATAAATATTTAATAAACAGTGATGATGAAAAGAGAAAGCAGGTTTAGGAATATAATTGAGAAAATTATTATGTGAACACTTTGAATTTTTAGGCTGTTTCTTTCCTGTTACGTTAACAGCCCTACACTGGGTTGGTGTGGTTACCAATTTGTAAAATTTAGGGGTGGAATAGGACATTTCTAGCAAGCTTGGCTTTAAAAGCACAGCTGATTTCATTAAGCAAAGGAAGAAAGTCCCTGGAGTCGGTTCCTGCCTTGGGCATCTGTACTTGCATGTATGTGCAGGTTTATACGTGTGAATAGGACATTTCTAGCAAGCTTAGCTTTAAAAGTGCACCTGATTCCATTAAGCAAAGGAAGAAAGTCCCTGGAGTTGCTTCCTGCCTTGGGCATCTGTACTTGTATGTATGTGCAGCTTTATGCATGTGAGTATACAGTTGGTCATCATTATGCATGGATTCCATCTCTGTGAATTCATCTACTCACTAAAATTTATTTGCAACCCCCCAAATCCCTCAAATCAATACTTGAGGTGCTTTCACAGTGCCTTTGTGGTCATTTGCAGACATGCATGTGCACAAAGCAGTGGAAAATTTGTTTCCTGACAGGTGTGTTTCCAGCTGAAGTCAAACAAGGCGATGCTCTACCATCTTGTTTCACTTCAACAGGTGTCCCTTTTGTTATTTGCGGGCACATATTTTGCCTTTTTGTGCTTTTTGATGGTGATTCCATGGTTTAAAATGGACCCTAAGTGTAGTGCTGAAATGCTATCTTGTGTTCATGATTACAAAAAACCTGTGATGTGCTTTACAGAGATAATACGTGTTTTAGACAAGCTTCATTCAGGCATGAGTTACAGTGCCTTGTCTATCCATGAGTGCAATGCTAATGAGTCAACAGTATAAATTAAATAGGAGTTTTTAAAAGGAAACACAAATAAAATAAGGTTATACATTGATTGGCTGATGAAAACGTTATGACCAGAGACTCACAGGAACCTAATCCTGTATTTTCTCCTGAAAGCAAAGATTTGGTATTTGCCAGTTCAGCGTTTGCGGTGACTTTATAAAATTTAATTGCCGCCAACAACAAGAATCAGCCATATGTATATTGTGACCACGTGGGTTGTGCTAGTATCTCTCTAGGCAGGTTTGGTGTGCAAATTAGTGGACAAATATGAATATTAGGAATGTTAACAGTAAACAGATGCTCCATTTCCCATTTAGGTGAATTGGGGTCCATTTTAAACCATGATTAAAATTAAATAGGCAATGCCTTTGGCTTACTCTAAATGAATACAAACTTTCTGGGTTATTTCCTTTAGAAATTCTATGCCAGGAGGTAAAAGTACTGATCCTTTATTAAAAGTTCCCAATGCACAGAAGCATATGCTTCCAAAGATATTCTCCATTAGGGAATAAGTTTAGCATAAAAACTAAGAGCATAGACTCTGGAATCCAAAGCCTGGGCTCAGATACAGTCCCTACTATTTCCTGCCAATGACTTTAGTGAATAATCTCCCTGATCCAAGGTTTGATGATGTATAAAATGAGGAGTATACTAGGATCTACTTCATAATGTTGTTGTAAGGCCTAAGTGAGATTCACAGGAATAATGATTAACAGGGGGCTTCACACATACATACTAAGTGTTCAACATTTACTGGCCATTATTATTCTTGGAGGAATAATAATTGTTGAAAATTTGGATTTCATTTCCTCCAAGAATTATAAAACTGACAGTTTAAAATAAATGGATAGGATTCAAAAAATATCCATGCAGTCACCCTTCGATTTCACTCTCTTGCCTCCAGCATTTCTTTCATAATCCCAAGGAATGCTTGTTCTGACATACCGCATGCAAATCCTGGCTCAGGGCTTGGTTTACAGTCTTATCCTTGAAAAGGAACAAGGCAGGACTAAGAGCTAAGTATGAGGTGGAAAGAGGAAAGGGCAGCTCCCTCTCTTGAGGGTTCCATTGCTTTTAATCTCTCCTCTTCACTCCCCTTCCCACATCTCCATGTATCCTGGGACCAATTTTAAAGTGAGTGCCTGACAACTTCCTTATGGAATATAGATTCCTGCTAATGAATCCAGACTGTAGATTTTGATTTTCATTATAAGTTTAGTATGTCAAAGCTGAAGGACTCTTAAAAGTTTGTACCTAGACAGAGTGAGACAGTTAATTTTATGTGTTAACTTGACCAGGCCATGGGGTATCTACACATTTAGTCAAGCATTATTCTGGGTGTGTCTATGAGGAAATTTTTGGATGAAATTAACATTTGAATCAGTAGACTGCCTTTCTCAATGCACGTGAACCTCATGCAATCCATTGAAGGCTTGAATAGCAGGGAACTCTTGCTACCTTACTGCCTTCCAGCTATGGTATCAGTTTTTTCCTGCCTTTGGACTCAAACTAAAACATTTGGCTTTCCTGGGGCTCTGGTGTGCCTGCATTTGGACAGGAGCTACACTATTGGCTTTTCTAGGGCTCTAGCTTGCTGAATGTAGTTCTTGATACTGGTAAACGTCCATAACCACATGAACCAATTACTTAACAATATGTTTTTTTTTTCTCTCTCTCTCTCTACACACACACACATACACACACACATTCATTAGTTATGTTTATCTGGAGAATCAATACACAGGGATTGGAATAATGCCTAGCATATATTGCATGCTCTCCTAGATCCCTGGTAGACATTTTTCTCCACTGAGGACCAATAGATCCTCTGATCACAGCCATTCAGTAAGTGAGACAGTTCAGAGCTGGGCTCAGGGCTTAGTTCTCTAAACGTTTAGCCTGGGGCTCTCTTCATTCCCTGGCAGCCTCTACGCACATGACATATTTTCCTCAGGTCCACGTCGGCTGACATGGTTTGGCTGTGCCGCCATTCAAATCTCATCTTGAATTGCAGTTCCCATAATTCTCATGTGTTGTGGGAAGGACCTGGTGGGAGATAACTGAATTATGGGGGTGGTTTCCCCCATGCTGTTCTTGTGGTAGTGAATACATGTCACGAGATCTGATGGTTTTATATTGGAAAACCCCTTTCCTTAGCTCTAATTCTCTCTTATCTGCTGCCATGTAGGACACGACTTTCACCTTCCACCATGATTGTGAAGCCTCCCCAGTCATGTGGAACTGTGAGTCCATTAAGCCTCTTTTTCTTTATAAATTACCCAATCTGGGTACGTCTTTATCAGCAGTGTGAAAACGAACTAATACATCAGCCTTATAGATTCTCAACATAAAATGGAATAAAGACCTTTTGGGACAAATGGCATGTCGCAGACCCCAGAGTCTAAGCTTTGAATACCTGTCCAGTTTTCTACAAGCTGTGTGACATTGGGCATGTTACTTAACCTTAACCTACATAAGCTTGTGAACCTGGATTTTCTCATCTGAGAAATGGGGGAAGAACTATACTTTCCCCACAGGGAGATTTTCAAGATCATATATAAAATATTTAGCATACTCTTTGGTATACAACTATGTTGAAGAAAAAAATTATTCATGACATTTGTTAAAACAGTAAAGCAGACTTTATTCAGGACCATCAAGATAGGTTATAGGGACTACTGTGATGGGATTTTGCAGCAGAAGAGAGAACTGAAACACAACAAGGAAAAGCGGAAATTTATAGCCAAACAGCATGGTGAGTGGGGCTCAGTGAGTGGAAAATTACCAATAGGAAACATCAGGAGTAAGAGAGGATTACGGCTAAACAAACCTAGCAGTGCTCTTGCTGAAGACAGGACAAGGTGATCAGACATCACCTGGGAGATGGTGGAGGATGAAGAACCCGATCAAATATCAAGGGTAGGGGATTGTGGCTAAGCCAAGTTAGCAAGATTTTTTGCTAAAATTGGGCGATGCAAAAACGGACATAGAAGTCCAAAAGTCAAAACCTAGTTGGGATAAGGATTCAGAAAAGTCTGACTATAGTTGGGTTAAGGAGAGGATCTTTGTCAATAAACATTCAAAAGTGTTAGCTTTTTTTTTTTTTTTTTTTTTAAGCTATCACTGAGACCACTATCAGATTCTTAGAATACCCAATCTAATATTATTTATTCATTTAGGAATCCCAAGTAAAGGTGATCAGACAGTAAGCCAGTGGGGTCTGTGTGTATACTCACCAAATCAATTATGCCAATGTTATTCCAGCCTTGCATTATAGGGAGAAAAGAAATAAACGTTGGGATGACCCAGCAGCCTCCCAGCATTAGTGCGATGCGCAGAGGGGTCATCTTGTTCCTATAGACCAAAGGCTGGCAGCAGATGGCGTAATACCTGGAGAGAGGATAGACAGCAGAGCATAGGCATGGACAAGGAGGAAAGGAAGGGAGAGAAAGAAGAACGTATGAGAGGGAAGAGGGGAGGAAAAGCGGGTGGAGCAAGGGATAGAGAGGAACAAACATTGAGAAGAGTTGGAGGGGAAACAATAGAAATAAGAAAAGAAAAAAAGAAATAATAAAGGGTGAAAGAGGAGAGCAAGTAGTAGAGGAAGGGGAAAAGAAGGAAGAGAGAAGGGAGAAAAGAACAGAGGAAGAAATGATTATATGATACAATATAGTATGCTGGCCTGTGAGTTTCTGTTAACATAAATATTAATATATACTTTGGATCACATCTGAGAATCATTGCCTGCAGTTAGCCCCACAGTCCTCTCCATCTTCCAATATCTGGAGGAGCTCCACACACACCAGAATTTATTTTCTGTCTCAGGCACTGTTCCGACACTATCCTGATGCCTGTGCATTGAGGAGCTTCTGTTCAGCCCTCTGGGTCTCATTGTCCAGGCACCTGTAGCCTATTTGTTTACCACTTGAGGTGACCCAGGCATAGCCCTACATCTGAGCTCTAACCACTGTATCTCGAATTTGTCCTTTTCCCCTTGATCACCTGCCTACATGGAAGTGGAGCTCTAAGTCAGTGTTGTTTTTTAAATTGTAGTTCACAGATTCCCCTCCATCCCCCCATCCCTGCCATGCTGTATCAAACTCACCTGAGGAAGCCTTTTTAAAATGCAGATCCCAAGGATATCCTGAATCAGAGCCTGTTGGTGAACAACCTGGAGCTTGCATTTTGACAAGTGTGAGTCATTACTGCTGTGTGCTAAGGATACCCAATTTCCACCTTCCAAACACGTATACCTCCTGGCCTCCTTATGGTTGGGTAGGACCAAGCGACTGGTCCTGACCAATGAATCATGAACAGAATTAACATGCATCACTCCTAGGACAAACCACTTAACTGTTTCTGGGATATTAAGAATGTAAAATTTTGAATATTTTCTGCTCCATCATTTCCTGTCTACTGGATGAGACACCCCAATTCCATTAATTAGAGTCTAACCTCTCTCATGGGACTCAGTGCTCACACTTTTTTGATTCCATGTTCTGCCTATGTTCTTCCCTTTTCTTCCTGCATCCAGAAAGAGGTACAACCTGCCCATTTAACAGTCTGGCCTGTCCTAGACCATTCCTGCATATTATTATGGCCTTGGAAATCACCTCTTCCATGCCCAGGCATGGCATGGAATTTCACAAGAGGCAGAATGCTACAGTAGATCTATCATCTATTTCTCTTTGGGAGAGTAAAAAACATAAATGCAAAAGAGCCTGGAGACTAAGTCTATTCTCTAAGGTTTTATATCATTTAATGATGAACCACCCCCATCCATCCCTCATTTTATGCAGTTCACTTTGTTAATTTTTCCCACCTCTTCTTTTCTTTTCTTAATTCAAAGCATAACTAACATAACAATGGCTACATTCTTTGAAGAGGCGGTAGTAGGATGGGTTGAGAGAGAGGGTGGAATGAGGAGGGCCCAGTGTTGGAGTATGAGGAACAGGTGCCTCAAATGCAGGAAGAGGAGAAATCCCCCCTCTCCTACAAGGCATTGAGAAGCAGCTGACTGCATTGTTCCAAGAGCTCCTTGTAGCCAGAAGCTTGATGCAGCGTCCTGACCTGGGCCAGAGTGCAAGAAACAACAGATCAGAGAATGGGAGAGTGGCTTGCTCAGAAAAACCATTGTCTCAATTATAATTCTGACATGGCTGCAAAGTCAAACTAAAGATAACTCAGTTATTGAAAGAATCATGATTAGCTGAATTCCCTCCATATTGTTGGCTTTCAAGGAAGGCAAATTTTATGCGCGGCAAATTTTTCTGAATGGTGATATTCATAATCATCAAAGGTTTATTATTAACATAGAATTAATGATGAATTTGAAGTGGATGAAATATACCCTTTTTTTCAAATTTTGTTTCCTTCTTGATTTCCTGTTGGGGGGCAAATCTCCTTCCATTTAACACCCTTCCTCCTTTCTCTTGTTAATAGCACTCCAAATCCTTCAAGAGTTATCTCTTTGTTGTTGCTATGGTGTTATTGGGAAAACAAATGATGGGATTCTGACTTTTCTAGCCAAGGAGTGACCTGATCAGACTTTCTCCTGGAACTCAATGCCCTGCAGAGGGATGCAAAATGGGCAAGTCGACAGAGGGCGCTTTATCCCAGCAGCAGCCCCATGGCAGGGCTGGGGATTCATTCGTGCTCCTTGGATCTTCTGCAGCATGCTCTTACCCATCAAGTCCTCACTCCTTAGCTCTCTCTTTAAATAAATCACTTCATATCTTTCCAATAAATTATCTTTTTGCTTAAGCTGGTGTCATGGGTTGAACTGTGTCCTCCCTCTCCCAAAAGATACATTGAAGTCCCAACTCCCAGTAACCTTGGAATGTGATCTTATTTAGAAATAGGATTGTAAAAGAGGCAGTCAAAGCAAAATAAGGTCTTCAAGGTGATCCTGAATCCAATGTGACTGATGTCCTTATGAAAAGGAAAATTTTGACACAGAAACTGATATGCACAGTGGAAAGGTGGCCATGAGGAGACGGAATATTGGAGTGATGTGTCCATAAGCCAAGGAACACTTAAAGTTACCAGCAACCACCAAAGGTCAGGAAGAGGCAAGAAATAGTCCTTCCCCTACAGGTTCCAGATGAATCATGGCCCTATTGACACCTTTATTTCAAACTTTCAGTCTTTAGAACTGTGAGACAATAAGTTTGTACTTTTCTAAGCCATCCAGTTTATGGTATCTGTTATGACAGCTTTAGCAAACCAACACAGTTGGTTAAAGGCAATCTCTGTTACTTGCAAGCAAAGTATCCTGCCTCACACAGAACAGTAAAACTGGCTTGAATGCCAGATATATCTTTCATAGTGTATTTTTTTCTAAGTAAAAATATCTTTTTGTTTTATTCAATATACTTTCAGATCATAGCTCAAGTTTTGACATCCTTTCTTCTATTATCCCAAAAAGGCAATAGAGGGATAAATGAAGAATGAATTCTGCCCTATCTTTGTTGTGTATTCAATATAATTGTCAAGGTTCATAACCAGGTGCTGAGATGTTGCCAAATAAAGAGCAGATTTCAGAAATTTTGGTTGGATCTCCAATGTTACAAAAATCCAAAAGTTCCAAAAGACAAGGCCAAATTAAGTATCCTTCAGGGCACTATTCACCACAACCAAGGTAGGAACCAAACTAAGAGTCTATCGGTGGATAGATAAATATAGAAAATGTGGTATATACACACAATGGGATATTATTCTGCCATAAAAAAATAAAATCCTATCATTTTCAGTAGCATGGATGGAACTGGAGGACATTATGTTAAGTGAATAAGCCAGGCACAGAAGGATAAATACTGCATGTTCTCACTTATGTGACGGTGCTAAGAAAATTTATCTCATTGAGGTAAAACCTAGAATGATGGTTACCAAAGGCTGGGAGGGGTAGCATGTAGGGGGGATATGAAGAGGGGTCAGCAAATGCATACAAAAATACAATTAAATAGTGGAAATAAGATGTTTGTGCAGCACAACAGGGTGACTATAGTTAACAGTAATTTATTGTATCTTTCAGAATAGCTAAAGGAGTAGATTTGGAATATTCCCAACACAAAGAAATGATAAATGTTTGAGGTGATGGATATCCCAACTACCCTGATTTGATCACTACGCAATGTATGCTCATATCAAAATATCACACGTACCCCATAAGAATGTACAACTATTATGTACCCATAAAGTTTAAAATGTTTTAAATAGATAAATAATATCTTGCACGATAAAAAGTACATTTGAGAAAGCAGGATGTCTTACCTGAGAAGATTCTTTGATTTCCATAAATGGATGTGGATGTTTAGAGGGTTATGTTAGGAAAATAGAAGAATTTACAAAAAAGGGCTTTAGAATGTATGGTTATATTGGTGCTCATAACATTTTTATAAAAGCCTTTACTGTATTTCTAAGTCTAGCATGGCCTGGGATATTGCCAGTTTCCCTTGACATAATGAACATACCATGAACAATATTGCCCTACATTCTGCTGTCCAAATGTTCTATGCTTTAATTTGCTTTACCCTAGATTTCTAGGAGCTGCTGCTACATAGAATTAAATAGTGGCAACCGGTTTCCTTTTAAAACGCAACTTAAAAGAGGATACTATGAATGTAGTACGCATTTTACCAGTCTCTTACACTTTTTTTTTTTGAAACAGAATCTTGCTGTCACCCAGGCTGTAGTGCTTGTGTAATCTTAGCTCACTGCAACCTCCGCCTCCCAGGCTCAATTGATTTTCCTGCCTCAGCCTTCTGAGTAGCTGGGACTACAGGAATGCATCACCACGCCTAGATAATTTTTGTATTTTTAGTAGGGATGAGGTTTCACTATGTTGGCTAGGCTGGTCTCAAACTCTTGGCCTCAAGTGATCCACCAGCCTCAGTCTCTCAAAGTGCTGTGATTATAGGCATGAGCCACCACACCCGGCCCCCTTACACATTTTACATATACAGTCAGTTTCCTGGAAAGTGCATGCAAGAAATAAAGCGCTTGAACAGCGAGCCGATCCTGTAGGGGGCTAAGGTGGAATACGTCGAAACACACCCAAACACAGGTGTAGAAAGTTACTATTGCAGGATCTGGGGTGATTAGGCAAGCCTAGAAAAAATCCTTTATCTATTTTTTAAATTATCAATAAGTAAAGGGGGAAAAGGATTTTATTTTACTTCAATTTAAATTAGGTTAGGTAAATTGTTAGTGAGAGGTAAGAATACAAATAAGAGAAATATTGAATTATGTCTAGGTGTATGTTTTATTTGCATTTTGTCCTCTACATCTTCTTCAGTCTTGTCCTCTGTCTTATGGTAAACATGATTTGATTTGTAAGTATAGAATATAAGGTTCTTATTTGGAGCTCAAACTCCAGCATCTACTTAACT